ACTAATTTAGAAGTTTTTTGAAGTGAATCAGTGCTTTTCGAATTCAGTCTGAATATTTTTGGAATGATTCAGTAAATGAAATGATTTCAATTTTTTATAAAATTGTCCAGAGCTATCCGAAGTGATTCAAACATTTTCGATGCGATTCAGTACTTTCTAAAGAGACTCCGAAAATTTCTAAGGTAATCTAGTACTTTCTTAAGAGATTTAGAACTCTTTTGATTTCTGAGGTGATTCAGTACTTACCGAAGTGATTCCGAAGTTAAAAAAGTAACTCAGCACTTTCAGAAGTTATTTAGAACTTTTCTGCATTGATTCAATACCTTCCGAAGTGATTCCAAACATTCCTGGAGTGAATCAGTACTTTTTCATATTCCAAAAACGCAAATTATATCTTCCCCAAACGTATTCAGCACGATTTTTAGCTTTTTCAATTTTTTGGATGTTAATGCAATATTGCAATGAGTGAATACTTTTCTATGCGAGTTCATACTTATGACCGATAGTGTATATGTATAGTGGAATAAAGCTTAGAGTGCGGCAGTGGGAGTTGTGGAGAACGATCTAGACAAAGACACAGTGCACTCAGCGAACCCTGCGGTATTTAACGTAAGCTTACTGTAAACATTTGTGGCAAGTACGATGCATGTGTATTAGGGTGGATCAACTTTATATGGTGGATTACAAATCCCGGTTCCCCTCAGCTCTTTCGATTCGTATTAGGATTCCCAGCAACTGTGCCAAATTTGAATGAATTTAAAAAGAAAAATAATTTAAAAAGCTGGATTTAAGATTTTACGGATTGGATTTGCGGGAGAGCTTTATAATTTGTATGGGAAACGCAACAACACTATTCAACACACCAACGAAAATGTTCTGTATAGTTTTCTCAATCTAAGTCCCAGGTTTGGGACGAATTGGGTGATTCTTGAATTTTTTCAAGCAATTGAACCGTTTCCCATACAAATTATAAGCTCTCCCGGAAATCCAGATCATAACAAAAATCGTTCAAAATTGACACAGTGTTTGGGGACCTCAATACGAATCACAAACATTAATATCCACTTTCATTCATCAGCTTGCTGAGTCAAGCTCAACCGTAAATTTTATGCCCTCTAGACATCGTTATTTATTTTTCGTTGCGGATTACAGATAGACCATTCGCGGCAAAGAAAACTCA